TGGATGGATGGATGGATGGATGGATGGATGGATGGATGGATGGATGGATGGATGGATGGCATCAGTATCCATCAGATTGATACCTGAGGAGTTTGGAGCACAGGTAACCACCACATTTGTTGTGTAGCTCAGTATCACCTGCCACCAAAGTCATAGGCAGAATGGTTTTGCATGTGTGTGTGTGCATGTGGGAAAATATTTTTATTTATTAACCTTTTTCTAATGAAGCAAATCCCATTGAGATCACAGATTTCTTTGGGAAGGGAGGCTTGGACCCGAGGGCAGCCTAACATATATGTTTTTGAACTGTGGGTGGAAACCAGAGTATTTTGTACATAAAACTCAAGTAACCACGAGAAGTACATACAAACTCCACACAGAAAGACCCCCGGGTCCAAAGCAGGAACTGAACCCAGGACCTTCTTGCAGTGAGGCAACAGTTCTAACCACTAATCCATTGTGCTTTGTGGGAAAATCTACAAATAAATCGAGAAACATCAACTGGACTGAGTCAGGTCCTCTGAATGGATTCTTCTTTGTTGATGCCAACTGGCAACAACAAAGAAGAATCCGTCCAGACGACCTGACTCAACCTGGTTACATTTAGCTACTGAGCATGAATCAGGACACCAACTGAAAAACTTACTTTTGGAACTGAGTTTAATGTGACTTCCACAGATAGGATGGATTGTTGCAATGACCATAGTCCTCCTTCAAGATCCAAGGTTCAAGGTGATTTATTGTCATTCACATCACATGTGGTACACGAGGTGGAACGAAACTGTGTGCGCAGGTTCCCAGCTACATTCAACAATAGCAAAAATATAAATTGTAAAAGAAACAGTAATGATCTAAAACATAAACTAAGAAATACACTAAACTGAGAAATATGCTAAACAATACGTGAAACAACAGCAGCACGAACATGAGTCTGTGTGAGCAGATGAGCTTGAATGAAACAAGGCATGCAGAAACTGTGTTTAGATGTCATTGAAGATAACTTGGATCTTTTTAAAGGTCTTCAGCTGACATTTGGTGTGGTAGTAGCTAAGAGTTGTCCCCAGTCTTTGAACACCTTACATTGCACAAAGTCGTTCCCTAAAAAGTTTGGTTTGACTGTTTCAGTCAACTCTGTCAGTTAAATTTCTCATGAAACTCAAAAAGGGATCAATGGATAACCAACAACTGACACTTCTGGATAATTCCCACAGCTAATTAAAGTTAGCAAACACAGAAATGGATATAGACTCAATCCTTTTTACTGATACTAATGTAAAATTGGGTGTGGTAGTAGCTGAGAGTCATCATGAACACATACTTGGAGCGCTATTCATTGCATGCGTGGAGTGTGTGTGTGTGTGTGTTGGGGGGGGGGGGGGGGGGGGGGGGGGATTTTGTGTCAAATGTTTTGAACGTTTGCAAACGCCTCTGTAACAAGGACATAATGTAATGGCTGATTTGTTCATAGTTAACAAAAGTTCAGACCCCCATGTTCGTTCAGGTCGTTAATGCTGCGGGTCATGTTTGGCGCGTGGAGGCGAGGTGAGCAGTGATGAGAACTCGACACGTTCAGGAGTTCATGCAGGGTGGGGATCTGAGTTTGAGCGTCCCTTGGGTGCGCAGTGTTGCCAGCCTCAGAGCCACGTCAGGCCTGTAGCAACTGCTCGTCTTCTTCTGCCTCTCCAAGGTTAGAGAGAGGCCCGCCCGACTGGCTGCACGCGCAGGAGGAGCACAGAGCGGGACCAGGATTTCATTTCTTCACATTTAAGATTCAGATTTTCTCCTACACAGAAGCTCAAAGTGTAGGCTGCGACATCTTTTTTTATTTTTTATTATTATTATTATTATTTTTATTGTTTCCTTTTGTGCAGCTGAGAAAACGATCGTTATCGCCCGGTGCTTGATGGAAACGCGCAATCCCAAAAAATGGTTACATTTGGAGAACGTCGGTGAATACGATGTGACATCGGTGCGTCAGAGAAAGACATCTCAGCGAGCTGGACTCCTGCTCGGGCGTCAAGTCCTCTCCACTGTGCACTTTTAGTGCTGCTGGACTGAAGGTGACTCCAGCCCCCGTCGCTGTCAAGGCAATGCGGAGAGGAGCCACAGGCGCTCATCCTGTACTTTCCCTGCGCCCTCAGGCTCGTCTGGGAAAATATCTGCTCCCTCTGCCACAATAAAGCGGGGGAAGGGACATCAGCGAGCTGAACTGAGCCCAAGAGCCGCGCAGAGGAGAAGGTGAACGGAAAGGTGCAGGGCTGCTGAAGCCGGAGAGTAGTGGAGTTTTTTTGTGAGGGGGGCCGGGGGGTGGGGGGCTGGCAGAAATCGGACCAAACCCGTTCTGTCTTAGGGCTGTTTTCATAGTGGATGTGTATGCATGAGTTCTGCATCGAATGGGCGCAAAAACCGCCCCAGATCCGCCGGGAACATCTTCCAGATCGGCAAGCCTCCGCACCGAGACCCAGAGAGGCGGGAGAGCACCGAGAGCACGCGCAGAGCCCAGCGCGCCGTGGCGGACTGCAGAATGGTAGGTCTGCGGCACGCCAGCAGTGCCTCTGGTGAAGGAGGAGTGCAGTTTTCTTTGTTGTGTGTGTGTGTGTGTGTGTGTGTGGGGGGGGGGGGGGGCATCTGATATTCCGTGCATGCACGTGTACGCAGGTCAATGGACGCATTAATAAATAAGAGATAACCTAAAAATAGCTGTGTTGCATCGGCACACATGTACACCTCTGCGTGCAGAACTGGCCGTGTGTGATTTGCAATGAGAGTGTCAAAATATTCAAATGAGGTTTCTGGCGGTGTCAGAGCCAAGCAGCACAGGGTCGTCTGTGGTGATGATCACGGCACGAGACGTCCCGTGTTTTGGCACACGCGTGACAGAAACGATCCAGCCTCTTCAGTCATCAGTCATGGAGCCTCAGCAGGACGTGCGGGAGGAGCTGCACGAGAGAGTAGAATACCTGAGCACTGGCTGTCAAGTTTAGCTCCACCAAATATGTTTGATGGGGTTTTAATGACGGTGCAACACTTTTCTCTTAAGTCACGTTTTTATCCCCCCCCCCCCCCCCCACCCCCCAACAACGAAGTCTGTTTGAATGTGTTCAATATAGTAAGTTCTCTGCTGGTGTAGCAGCGTGCACCTGCCATATAATAAAGACTGTTGTGCTGCAGAGCTCATATTGTCTGTCACATTTGTGTTTCCCCCCTGTCACGCAGATTGTGCAAGAATTTAACACACTTGTGGCTCTCTACCGTGAGCTGGTCATCTCCATCGGGGAAATCACTGTGGACTGTCCTTCCTTGCGGGCCGAGATGCTCAAGACCCGAACTAAAGGCTGCGAAATGGCCCGAGCTGCTCACCAGAGTCTCTCCCTGATATCCGGGTGAGTTGGCACAGGCGCTGTCCGTGGTGCTGAAAGTTAGCACGCGCCGCGCCAAACAGGGCGCTCTGCAACACTGCAGCGCTTTGAGCCGTTTCCTCGTTTCCAGCTTTGAAAAAAAGACCCGTTTTCATCCTGTTTTACTTCTATATTTCATTAGTGGAACACAAGGGTTAGCTTGCTCCTGCACCACTTGAGTTTGAGTCATGAGATCAGCCGTTAAAAATCATTTTCAAACATGAGAGCTGTGCCGGGAAGTAATCACAGCAACATGCTGCAACTGATCACTTCCATTTAGCTGTGGCTAATGCACAAAGTGGAGTGGAAGTGGGATGCTTCCCAGGACTGATGTCCCAGATCATATTATCAATAATGTGAAGCTGCTGGTTTTTATTTCATGCTTTTAATATATTGAGAAAGTGGCTCTGTGTGTGTGTGTTTTCTATTGTTTAATTACTGCACAGCAGATATATTTGAGGGTGACTTTCAGCTACTACCAAGTCAAATATGAGTTCACGGTGTAAAAAGGACTTAACAATGGCCCAATAAATTGTAAAATGGCTGTTTGTGTGTGTTAGCTCAATGTTCTCTATGTTCAATATTGAACATTATTATGGTTATTGTTTATATTATTTCTTTATATATTGTTTAACATTTTAGGAACTTTTTGTGTGAATCTTTTTATCTGTTTCTGCTGTTACACTTGAATTTCCCATCCGTGGGACAAAAAAGACTGTTTCTTTTCTATTCTATTCTGTTCTATTCTATTCTATTCTATTCTATTCTATTCTATTCTATTCTATTCTATTCTATTCTATTCTATTCTATTCTATTCTATTCTATTAGCTGTGATAATCAAACAGTCAAGAACCTGTAATTACTTTATGAGTTTCACAAAAAATGTGTCCTGTAGTTAATGAGATATTTTGCTAACAGACAGACAGTGGCAACTCCAACATTTTATTCTTAGTTTTCCTAGCATTTATGTGATGTGTAGAGCACAGATTATGGTTATGAATAGATTTCAGCTACAACCGCACCAAATGTTTATCTCATCATTTGTATTATTGACTGTATTTTAGCTATTTATGTGTTTAATGTTGATTAGCTGTGGCAGCTAATTTAAGCTGACTTCAAAATCTAATGGTTTGTATCTTCAATGATAACTTTTTTTATGGTTTTATTAACTGAGCTGTAACTCTATTTGTGGGTTCTGAGGTCCTATATCCGCGATAACCATCTTGAATAGTGTTATATATAGAGCGTGTTCTTAAAATCCTTGTTTTGGTTGAGATTTTTTTTTTTTTTGATGAGCTTCAGATAAATAAATCCATGCACACACAAGTAAAAACATTATTGCCTCTGGAAGGAAAAAGTCAACACCAAGTGGTTAGGCTTTTTATTGGTTTACTGTTAAATGATTTTGAGGAAGGAGCATCCTAAAATTTACGTTGCACGTTGTTTCTCGGTTGTTTTGTTTCCTGTTTCAACTAGAAGAAAAAAATTGATTGTGATAGAGAAGCCTCGGCTTGGCCCACAGCTTGTCTTGTTTTTTCCTGTGCCAGTGGCGGGAAGGGAGGGCAAACAGAGCCCTGGATTTGGAGATCCTCAGTGGGGCTAAAGATGCCAGCTGACTTGGCACCCTCAGATTTACTTAAATAACAATTGGGCAGACTGCAGCCAGCAGTGAGAGATTTGGAAGATGTCTGCAGTGGAAGCTGCTTGCCAAATCCCAGCCAGTGTTGGGTCAATCCCAGTATTAAGGTCATTGTTGTGATCCTGACCATTGTCCTCTTTGCAACAAAACAACTATATGTTTAGAGGTCAATGGAAACCTCTGTATCAGCTTCCATTAAAAATATCACTTCAGGCAGAATTGATCAACTCGTGTTTCCGATCAGGAGGAACTTAGTTTTTTAAGCCGTAGTAACCAAGTCAAAAATGATTTACTTGTTTGAGCCACAATAAAAATGCAGATCTGTGTTTGCTTTATGCAAACCAAGGGCCTTTTCATCCAATTTAGTGCTTTTATTCTAAAATTTTGTAACATATTTGCTATCAGTTCATTAATGTGTAGCTATTTAAATATTTAATTGACTAAACAATGCACAAAATATACTTTTATGTTTCAGTGTATGACTTACCCCTACCAGTGCAGTTATATCTGTTTCTCCATTACAGTCCTGGACTTGGATCACCCGGTGTTGCTTTCTCTGAACAGAGATGACCATCTTGTAGTTTTATAGAGGGAATTTCCACTGATTACAGCAATAACAGCTTTCACGTAAACAAAGCCAACTCCAAACTGTCTCCTATAAAAGCCATTTCAGTGTTTGTCTCCAGGAGACACGGGCCGATTTAGACTGCAAAGATCATTCCACTTTGATAAACTAAAGCCGAGTTGTCGCTACAGCTTCAGTAATGCAGGGATGTTCATGTGGGGGTTCAGGAGGGTGGTGCTTTAGAAACAGCGGTGGAAAAGACAAGTCAGCCACAGAACAAGATGGGAAATGGAGGGGATGCTGTTAAAAGATGGGGCGTTTGGTACCAGGTGCAAGTTTCACACATTAAACTTCTGTCACTTTCCTTCAGGACATTAATTAATATCTTGTCTACACAAACTTTAGATTTATTTCATTGTGGTTCAAAGACGGTGCCATGTCTAAAAGATGCTGGAGATCCACTCAAGTTTAATAGAAAGTAATAGCTAGATAAAATCTCATCTTATTTTTGCATAGTTTTGCAAAAGAAAAGTCAGTTTAGCTTCATACGTGTTTTTTTTTTTTTTTTAGAGAACAGGATCAATAATTGATCGTCAATGCAAACTGAAGAGCTAATACAGATGCATTTGTTTCCAACAGTCTGTCGAAACTGTTCAGATCAACAACGTCTATCTTTTTGTTGAACTTCTACACAGCGCTATAGATTAATTCTTTCAAAAATTCATCAGAATGATTCACTCATGTATTCAGTTCTAGTTGAGAGAAATAACTGTATAGTGGACTCTATGTATTGTTGCAAGTAATTTAGCTATTAATAATTATGTTATGAAATAGAGGAAGAGCAAAAACAGGTTTGTGTAACATTAATACAACTGATTGTGACTAAATAGAGATATAAAGATACAGATAGTTTTTGACAAAAACAATGTGCATAAGGTGAGTTATTAATAACAAATCACCAAATGCCCATTATTCCATGTATTTAATCATCATTAGCCATAAAGTATTCCTAATGGTGTAATCATTATCTCTTTACTGTTTGTTTTTTTTAGGTAATACTTGAAACTAAGTCTTCCAAATTGCTCTGTAAATTTGAGCACAATGTGTTAGTGATGAACAGGAAGTGCAGGAGGTGTCAGGTTTTATCTTCACCTCATTAAAAAGTTTGACTTTCTCTGCTGCAGGGCCTGAAATTTGCCAGAGATACGTGCACTTTCACTGCACTTTTCTTTTTATACATACAGTTTTTTTTGTGGGGAAAGACATGCGTGTGGTTCTATTGGTGCACGTTGTTCACCCTTCCAGCTCCAGCAGCTAAAATGTGTCCCCTGAAATCTAACATATTTATATAAATCCTCCTTGTCTGTGTGAACTGAGATCCATATCGTGCTGGCATCAAAATACTACCACATTTACGTTTAGCTCTCAATTATGACAGTACATTCATTTTTGTGCCTGCTTTCTTAATATGTGTATCTTTTCTGGAATTCCAGGGGGCCTGGAAATTTTAAAAGCAATATTCTGAGTGGGCAGCACTTTTCGAGTTAATTAACCAGCCAACTTTCCGGTTTTGTCTTCCAGGCCTGAAGATGGGGAGATCCACCCTGAGATCTGCAGGCTCTTCATCCAGCTGCAGTGCTGTCTGGAAATGTACATCACAGAAATGCTGAAATCTGTCTGCTTGCTGGGATCCCTGCAGCTCCACAGAAAAGGTTAATACACTGACTGATGGGGTGGTTTGAAGGCAGCCTCCTTTATTTCATTAATTTAAGCTAGTGCAGAGTGGGACACAAGCTTTCATGTCTGAAGACAAGCAGGTATCTTCAAATCCACTCATGTCCATTTCCCTGATTCACTTTATTGTGCTCAGATTTTTTTTTATTCTGTTTCTGAACATTAACAGGGATTTTGAGACTGAATGTATCAGTTTAGGCCACCCATTTTCTCGTTCTCCAATATTTTGTATTTTCCCTACACATCAAAGCGTCTGTGTGTTTTCAAGGTAAAGATTCCTGCGGCCCGCCTGGTGTCGACAGTAAGATCGAAGACTCGGACATCCCGATTCTGGAGGACACCTCTTCCTCACCCACTGATTGTCCTCAGCTCTGCTGGCTGGTGGCCACCGACATAGAAAATATAGAAAAGTAAGTAGAAAGCAATTAATATAAGAAACATTCTGTTTTGTTGTTGTAAGACTATATACAAAACTAACTTACCTGATTAAAAATTACAAAGTTGAAACCGTCACTTTAAAACTACAATGTGTACTTTATACTTTGCCGAGAATGTAAAACTGATAAAACGTGCCAATTATTTTTTGCAATGTACACATTTGATATAACTGTTTGGACGCTGCCAGTTAGGAAAACATCATGTCAGGAGAGCAAAGAAATGCTTTTACACAAAAATCTGTGTTGTCCAGGGAGAAAGCTGCTAAAATGTGGGCAAGATATAAGTTTGTGTCAAAAATGTTTATGATCAGATGGATCCAATGAAACAAGATTTTAGACAAAGTAAAGCATTCTTTTCTAGATGAAGATAAAACTTGATTTTAAGCCAACAGAAATATGTAAAAATACCTTATTATCCAATAATAATGTGATGCATTATTATCATCTTATTATTGTGATGACAATAGATCATGGGAGGAAACTATGGAAGAGGATTAGGGTCACGGTAATATTTTTTCCCCTTAATTCTGAGAAAAAAAATCAGAGTTCTGAGATTAAAGTCAGAATTCTGAGAAAAAAAGTCTAAATTTATTCTGATTTTAATCTCAGAATTCTAACTTTTTGCTCAGAACTCTGACTTTAATCTCATAATTCAGAAAATTTTCTCAAATTCAGACTTTAATCCAATAATTCTGACTTTAATCTCAGAATTCTGACTTTTTTATCTCAGAATAAAGGGGGAAAAATTATTGCACTGTGACCCTAATCCTCTTCTGTAGGAAACCCATCATCACCCCAAAGTTGAAATATTACTGTAGTAATCACTGAACTCGTGTTCTTTTAAAGCTGATCATCATTTCCTGGAAATGTTTATCTGCCTCAGTCTCTGCTTTCACTCTCAGATGGCAGGTTAAGTTAATTATTTGAAGATACAGTATTGGATAATAAGAATACTGCTGATTCTTGGAATGGTTTTTATTATATTTGACTAATTTAGTTCTCCAACCTACATTTTAAGAGTTAAGTAAAACTTATATTTTAGGTTCTAGTAATAATTCAGTCTTTCTCATCATCCCCCATGAGCACAAACTCCTTCCTCACCTGTGAAGCAGCGTTTTGTCTCTCGGTTTTTATTTTCAGCGGGCAGGATTTGAACTCAGACTCCACCTCTGACCACTGCCCGGTCCATGATACACCAGAACCTTATGGTGCCGTCTACAGATGGTCAGTCCACAGGACAGTGACATCACCCTTAGGCTGTGTCCAGCTGAACTCCCTCATAGGAAAACCTGACTATAAAATTCCTTTTTGTCATGTCTTTTCATCAGTTTACCCAGTTCTATCTGAACATCCATCACATTGAAAACAAACTGTAAATTATGTAACTTAAAATTGGATTGGAAAAAAAAGACTGTACACAAATGTTTTATTAATGATTCCAACTCCACTTCATGTGTGTTTTCATTTGATCATACTGTAAACTAAGTGACAGATGCTTTAGGTACAAAAACATAATATTTTTTGCTTTGTTCTGCTTTTTGCAGGGATATGAGAGATATGAAGAACCTTCTCAGTAAACTCAGGGAGACTATGCCTTTACCGCTGAAGAACCAAGGTAAGGACAAACCAGTTCACTCTTAAGGCTTTTGAATACCAAATCCATGCTTTGAAGGCGTTCTTGTAGTCCATAACTCAACAGAACCATTGCATGTAAAAGTTTGTGCACCACTTTTGATCCTTTATCCATTTCATTTATAAATGCAATACAAGACAAAAATGTGTTGAGGTCATTAAAATTCAAGCTGTTGACGAGCGCTTTGTGGATTTTCTGATCTTGAGAAAGAATCATAATGAAATCATAATGAAACCAGTTCCACAAACTGGTTTGTTCCACTTTGGAATGAATGAAGTAGTAGTACACTGTAAAAAAAAATCTGTAAAAATTACACAAAAAAACTGTCAAATGGCAACAATAAAATACCGTAAAATCTAAAACAGTATGTCACTGTAATAAATACAATGTATTACTGGAAATCATAGGCACAATAAAAACAAGTAAATCTAACAAATTTTAACTTAGGAATTAACTTTAAAAATGTTCAAATTACAGTTAAAATACTGACATTTGTAGATGATAAAAATGTTATATTTACATGTTTTAAATGTATTTATCCATAAATTATTCTGTAAAATTTCTTTAATTTATTTTTACATTAAAAAATATGTAAGAAGTACAGTGAAAATGTGTTTATGTTTACAAAATAACATGCATATTTTACTTAATAAATCTGTTCATTGTATGGCTTACTCTATAAAACTATTTACATGTTCACTGTATTTTTTACTGAATTTCTCTGGCAAACCAGCTGCCAGTATTATTTTGTAAAAACTACCAAAAAAATGTTTACAGTGTAGCACAATTTTGGAAAATATTTACATAGGTCATTGTATCTAACAATAAAATACCATAAAATCCAAAACTGTATGTCACTGTAGTAAATACAATGTATTACTGTAAATCATAGGCACAATAAAAACAAGTAAATGTTAAAAAAAAAAAATCACTGATGAATTAGCATAAAAATTGTTCAAATTACAGTAAAAATACTGGCATTTGTAGATGATAAAAATGTTACATTTACATGTTTTAAATGTACTTATCCATAAATTATTCTGAAAAATGTATTTGATGTATTTTTACATAAAAAAAAAACGTGTAAGAAGTACAGTTGGAAATGGTTTTATGTTTACAAAATAACATGTAAATTTTGATTAGTAAAACAGTTGAATTTATGGCTTATGCTGTAAAACATGTTGACAGTATTTTTTACTGAATTTCTCTGGCAACCCAGCAACCAGTTTTATTTCCTAAATATTACAGATTTTTTTATAGTTTAGAGCAATTTTGCAAACTGATATTTTCATAGGTCACTGTATCTCACAATAAAATACAAACTTGTTGAGGAAAGGCTTTAATTGTCACAATACCAAGAAGTGATGGTCAAATTGGTTTGCAGTCAGTTTGTAATAACGAAAGTGTACGACTCATCGGCTGTCCTTGTTTTGTTTCTGCTCAGATGACAGCAGTTTGCTGAACCTGACTCCCTACCCACTTGTCCGACAGAGGAAAAGGCGTTTCTTTGGGCTCTGTTGCCTGGTAACCAGCTAAAGGCCCACCTCCACACTTAGGAGGCGGCAACAAAGACACCATAACCCACTGTCTGTCACCACTCGTGTCTCCCACCAACCTATTACTGCCACTTTCAAATATCTTCTCATTTTTTTCCTGAGACCGCTCATTTTATAATTTTATTTTGTAATACAAAGAAGAATTGTAACTGCAAAGTAATGAAAACTAAAGTCCATGAACATATATTTTAAAATATTTTGCAAAAGTTATTTTTTCTTTTGATAAATGAAAGCATATCTGCTTGTTCTATGTTTAAAAAAAAAAAAGAATGAGAGGTTAGTAATGTGAACGTTTAATTATTTTCACAATCCAGTGTGAGTGAAACGAAATGAATGAAATGTAGATTTATGTTTTTAAAAAGGGAATATAAATGTTCGTTTTGTCAGTTCATAGGATTACTTATTAAAAGACGCCATTCGAATGTGTAATAAAAGATTCTTGCAAGGACAAAGAAAAAAAATTGCTTCTCTAAAGTGAGACAACAGATTTTGTGCAGGAAAACAAACAAGCATCTATTGTGTAATTCACTCTATTTTATGTTTCTTGCTGTTTTTCTTCTAAATGTACTTAATTTAGTCTTCCATAAACCAAAAACCTGTACCCAACTTAAACTTTCCAGCTTCAAAATGGAATATAAAAACATTACTCAAGAGAAAACTTCTTTGCACACAATATCTAACTATAAATTAAAACATTAGTCTTGTACATACACATACTTACACAATGCTCTGTTATTTTCAAAGTTCAAGGTCAATGGGAAAGAGTAATGGCATGTGTGGTTTAAAGGTGGGAATGATCTTGCTCTGCAGATAGAGGGCACTGATTAAACAATATTATGAATGTCTTTGACAAGACAAATATTAGGTAGTTAAAGCTGTAATGGGTCATTTTACATTGAAATTAAAACTTTTGTTACTGAAAAAGTTCATTGTTGGCTGCATTTGTCTAGCATGTTGTTCATTAATATGACCACCAGAGGGAGACAAAGAACATTAAAAAATGACACCATGATTTAAGAAGAGTTAAATATCCATCCATCCTTTACCTTTTACCCACTTCTTCCTTTTCAGGTCATGGGGTCACTGGTGCTCATATCCAACAGTCACTGTGTGAGAGGTGGGGGGCCACCCTGGACAAGTCAACAGTCCATCACAGGGACACATAGAGACAAACGAGACAATCCACTCTCTCACTCACATCTAGGGACAATTTAAAGTTACCTACCAGCCTCACATGCATGCTTTTGGTTTGTGAGAGGAAATTGGAGCATCCAGTGAAAACCCATGCATGCACAGAGATAACATGCAAACTTCACCCAAAAGGGCCCCTGGCCGAGATTTGATTCGGCGACCTTCTCGCTGATAGGTGCAGCTCTACCAACTGCGCCACTGTGCTGCCCCAAAATTAATTAGTTTTCATAAAATTGTTGCACTTTAGATATTAGAGGATTTACTGCAAATTCCTGGTCATAGTTAATAACATTCTACAGTGTTTTCATTTTTCAACTCATTTGAAGAGTTTGTCATTGTTAAACTGCTGCCTGCTTTAAACTAGAAACACTGCGTTTACTGCAAAAGTGAATGCAGTTTGGATACAGAGTGTCAAATGGCTTAGCTTAAATTGAATAAAGAATGGATTCCTGACTGAATTGTTGAAGTTAAAACAAATACAACAGATGACTATTCAGCAAAACAGTAGTTCAATACTAAAATTCACAAAAAATAAAAGCTAAAACCTGCAAAACTGTAGGTAAAAGTCTAAAATTATCAACACTGAAGCTAAAATGTAAACGTGCAGTAGCTAAAAGCCTAAAGAAGCTTAAGAAGACAAAAACAGAGTAACAGTGTTGAAGCAAACTTCACATTTTTGGATAAAATGAAGAAACCTTAATTATTCTATGGGATTTAAAAAAACAACTAAAGGTAATAAATCAAAAGTAACAAAAGACACAAATACTAAATGGCAGAAGACACCAATCCCAGTTGAGACAAACATTTTTACAAGAATTCTTAAAATAACACAAATTATACATTAGCTGTTTTACTGTCAATAACATGCTGAAGAAACTATATGAATAGAAAAGCAATAAGTTTTCACACAATTAAAAATTAGCAATCAATGATCCAAATCTGTTTGTCTTCACATGCACAGGTTTTTATGACAGATTAATTTCATCGTTTTATGTTACTGTCCTCACTCTACTGAAATATTCATGTCAGTCATCCAGAATGAGACTAAAAGTAAATATTTCTGGGTTTTTTTTAGGCATTACTATGTAGCTCTGCATCTCTCAGCTTTTGTCTTCTTTGTTTTTGTGCTTGTTTCATTTTTTTTTTTTTTTTTTTTGCTGTTTTTGTTTACCTCTTTGGCTCACGTTGTTGTGCCGCAGCTCGTTGCTTTCCCTTTCGAGCAGTAAAGTTCAGTCCAGACGTCAAATTGACACCAAGCAAAGTCCACGAGTTTGTCTCTTGTGTGCAACCAAATTTTAAGCCATGCCTCCATTTATTTCCATAACCAAAATTATTTTGTTGTTTTTGAAAGCCCCACTGTGCAACAATTCTTTTTGTTTCACAAGATTATAATTTATAAAAACTAAAATTATCTATAACTCGGCAAAATTCAATTAAATTCAACTCATTTTATTTATATAGCACCAAGTCACATCAGAATGTAAACTAAACTTTTTCTTGTTGCTAACTTGTTTCATAATTAGGCCAAATTCAGAAGTTTTGTGAACTCGGAATTTTTCTAAATATCTTTTGAGGATTTTTGTCAAATTCACATTTTCAAATTTGTTCATACTAACATCAATTCACAACTAATATAGTTTAGGTATTATACTAATATTTAATTCAATTCAATTCAGTTTATTTATCTAGCACCAAGTCACAACAGAAGTCATGTCAGGGCACTGAACAGAAATATTCATATATATATAAAGTAAGTTAATAATATTTATCTGAGGAGCAGACTGCTTTGAGTCTAACTTCATTGGAGACTCTTATCTTGAGCAAGCATGAAGGCGACAGTGGAAAGGAAAAAATCCCTCATGAGGAAGAAACCTTTAGCAGAACCAGGCTCTGGACAAGCGGCCATCTGTTTCACTGGCTGGGTTTGAGAGGAACAGGAAGGAGGAACAGATACACAATGGCAGGTCCAGAATCACGTTAAGGTAGAAATAGTATCAAATGAAAACTGTTACAATTCATTTAAAGAAATGAGGTCAATTTGTCATCCAGTAGTCTAAGCCTATAGCAGCATAACAAGCAAACCCTAATTATATGATTTATCAAAAAAGAAAATCTTAATCCCAGTCTTAAAACTGGACAATGTGTCAGCCTCACGGACAGAAACTGGAAGTTGGTTCCACAAGAGAGGAGCCTGATAACTGAAAGATCTTCCTCCTGCTTTTGGAAACTCTAGGAAACACAAGTAAACCTGCAGTCTGAGAGTGAAGTGCTGTGTTAGGAAAATATGCAACAATAAGATCTCGACTATAAGATGGAGCTAGGTTGTTGAGGGCTTTGTAGGTTAGAACATCTATTTGTGAGTATGTAAACCTTTCATCCAAACTGCTAAAAAAAAAAAAAAAGAGCTGTTGGTCTTTTGGAAACCAATTGAACTCATTCAAATACATGTATATGTCTTTAACAAGTATGCATTGTGTTACAGCCATCTTTTTGTGTAGTCTCATTAATCACACCTGAAGGAACTGTTGTCACTTTCATGAAAACACAAAGGGAATAAATAATTATGAAGAGGGAGCGCCAAGAACTTGAAACTTCTTAAGCTCTCATTTAACATATTTTGATGGTTACTGGTGTCTGCAATATGTGCATACAATAAGTACCGGTACTTTGATATGAATGTGAAGCATATCACACATTTACGCACGTGCACTGTGAGAGGACATCAAGCCAGAGAAAGAAAAAACTTGCCAGCAGGGGTTTGTTGGACAGGCCAAGTTCTGCCTGCTGTAGTGAGCACAAGAAATCTCTTGGAAAAACGTCGCAGTCCTGAGACGAGGCTTCAAGCTTCGTCTAAAGTGATGTTTTTTTAAACAATTTTCTCAACATTAAGCCTTAATCTTTGTGCCCCGATGCAAACACAACTCAAATATTAAACGCTTAAGTCATATTCTATAAATAAATAGATGGGATTCTCTTGAGCCATCTCAAAAATATCTGCAAAATAAAGAATCAGACTTAAGTACTTTCTTTTATTTTATATTGTACAGTTTGGTTCTGTTTTGACTGATGTATAAAAACAGGACTGGTGTATATAAAGAGGACTGATGTATATAAAGAGGACTGATGTATAAAAAGAGTGATTAAAGTGTGGCGTGCATAGGCATTCCTAATTTTGATTCTTCATTTAAGTGAATAAAAGAGTCAAATATATGATTTTTTTTTTTCAGTAAGCTTTTCACCTTAATTTCTCACAAACATGACATGATGCTGATAACCGACACCTTTTCTCCTTTACACCGCCGAAGTCCTGCTTCACACTCGTTCATGGTTTGTGGGGCCACCGTCACATCCTCACCGACACGAACACACACGTCGGACCCGGAGGTTGAGCAGTTTGCAGAGTCTTTACAGCGGCACTCGTTGTTTTGGTCTAGAAGACAAAAAATATTTTAAAAAATAAATGATCACAGGAAAATATAAATGATTTATAGCCTTCGAAATGCCTACCATCACAGTCCTCCCACATGTGACAGCTTCTGCAGCCTGTTGTGTTGCGCTGTGGCCATGTGCAGCTGTCGTACTCTGCTATTGCAAGGTTTGTTCCTTTGCACTGCAATGCATGCATTTTGCACACAGTCAGAGGGACAAATCTTTTGCTTACTGGTATTGTGGCACACAACTCCAGTGAGGAACTGATAATAAAAGAAAGAAAAACACAAAAATCAGCAACATGCAATTAACATATCATTAAAATATATATATACTAAATCAACCACAAGATTAGCTGAGCAAATTGTTGACGAGCAGTAAATATACCTGCACTCCAAAGGCATTTTACAAACACAGTTTCCTCTGAAAGGCTTCTCCCATGGTTGACATTGTACTGTGGGAGCAGTTGGTTTCTGTTGTTTACCAGCTGTGGGATAAAAACAAACTAATCACATATGCTGCGTGCTGATATAGAACAAGGCCAGACAAGAATAAATTAAAAAGCAGCTCTTATATTGTACAATCATGTCTTGTTTCGCGTTGATCCAACACCATCTGTGAATATCTGTGCAAAGCAGGAAGGAAATAATACCTTGGATGCATCTAACTTCTGCTGGATCTGGAGAAAAATGCAAACTGGAATCACAACTAGAGGATGTTTCCCCTTGTAACTCTTTACCCTCTGGACACGACAAGGAAACAGTCTCCCCAAGGTGATAAGCCTCTCGTAAGGGGAATACTATGATATCCGCAGTGAGTAAAGGAAGCTTGCAAACAGAAACTAGAAAAACAAATGCACATAGTATTTTTTTTTTTAGGAAAAACTTCATTAATTGTGATAATGCTGATTGTTTTGGAGGTAAAATATACCTATACCTGCACACAGACCAGGACTTGCAGACCAGATACGATCGGGGGTGCATTCTAAGATGTTACCAAGCAGATCAAAACCAGGAGTGCAGGCGTACTCAACTTTATCACCCACAAAGTAATTGTCCTTTGGATTCTGTGAAGGATGTGTAAATTAAAAAAAAATGTAAATCTGCATTGGTGGCTTCAAAACTGGGTGTAATGAAGGCCTTTTTTATTCGATATTCTGTTTCATTTAAGCTCAAATGTGTAACTTAATATCCTTTGTGTCACAATGCACAGTTTGACTTTTCTTTTTTCCTTTTCTTTACCAGGATGTAGCCGTTGATCAGACTTGGTGGAGTGTCACATTTCTGACGTTCTGGGAGAGAGACGTCAAAGCACTGAGGCTCCATGGTTCTGTAGAAAAGGAGTCCAAAATTGCAATATAAGCAGATAATTAAGATAAAACTTCTCATTTTGATCAATATATTTCCGGACAATAAGAGTCTAAACACACTAAATATTTAATACAACTTCAGCTTGCTCTGACTTCAGGTATTGCAGCTCCTCGGCGTCATCACAGCCAGACGTCTTGGTTGCGTCTCCGATGCAGTGCTGTCCGCCATTCTGAGGGGAGGGGTTAGAACAGGATCGACTTCGTGACCTTCGACCCCCAGAGCACGAAGACCAGGCAGACCAACAAGACCATCTGCCGTTGATCACTCCTTAATTGTTTGGAATATAAAGTTAGAGGAAACATGATGTAAACAACTGTAAAATTAGATGTGTTAAAGGTGAGGCTTGCCCTGTTGGCCTTCCACGTCTGCTCCCAGCTCACAGGCCTGGCCTGACGTGCCGGTCTTGCAGATGCATTTGCATTCATCTCCATCCCTGACAGCCAAGCCGTTGTTTCTGCAGGGTTGGCAGTGGCAGGCATCACTCTCTTCCAGGTATTGTTCTATGGCCCTACGGAGATAGAGCTTTTTCACCCCAGTGCACTGAACCTCCTTCACCAGTTCTGATAGCAGTCGTAGCTGGAGGTCCAAGAGTTAGAGTCAAATCGTGGCAAAAATGCAACACCCTTAAATTAACATAAAATATTCAAACATTTTAGGGTTAAGGAGAATGCGGAACTGTTCCTCACCTTCTGTTTTATGACCTGTGGGAACGATCGAATGGAATCAGCCCAGTTTGAGTACATTTCCCAGTTCTTGTTGGGATCATCGAGCTGCATTCTCTTCAGTGCTGCAATGTGTGAAACGCCTCCTCCTTCCACGTTCACTTGCACCACATTGGTGTTATGGTTAAAACCTATTTCACAATTATTTGTTTAGATGGTAATATGAGAGAAGGGTTGCAAAATGTTGAATCCGTTTTGAAATTTTCATCCGAACTGTACCTTTTGTCCTTGACCTTTCATAGTCATCATTTACACAATGCACAGTTGTAATGGGGAAAAAAAGGACCCAGCGTTTAGTCCTTTCACATTCGTGGTGCGTCATGGTTTCACTTTCTTAAAATCAAAAGAACAAAGGGAAAACATTTCCAGACGTTAAAGACATGACTGAGCGAGAGCGTTATGGATTTTATTAATCTGTTAAATAAGACACATTTCTATAAAGTGCTATTAGAATGTCAGAGGCACGCTTGATGTAAAATACCACATAAAGTAAGTAAATAAATAAATTGGGGCCTTGTTAAATTAGCTTTTGCCTTTAGAGGATGAATAGTCAAAAATCATCTCATGCCTTAGGCCTTGATAAACTCTGAGATTCCTTATTGAGACTGCAAGTTGTAATTTCCTATTCCAAAGACAAACTGTGGTTTGTAAATCCTTACCCAGGTAGTTTTCTGTTTCTTGATCGATTGCAGCAATGGCATTGAAGGACCCTCCCAGGCTTCCCTCAGATACGTAATGTGTTCCAAACCGCTCCAAAATCTTCCTGTAGGCTGAATAGTCGTAGACCGATGGGAGTTTGGCCAGTGCCTTCCAAAACTCCTCCGATATTGGGAGGTACTTCGGAGAGTTACTCTGGAACTGAACGACCTCAATCTCGCTCTTTAACACCAGAAGCCTGTGAGTCTAAAGGGAAGGACAATGCCTTTTATTTAGGAAGTGTCCTTGTGAAGCTCGCAAAAAAGTCGCACAGTGAAAATGTTTTCGTACCTGAGTCGTGTCGTGTTTCTTGTGGAAGTCGTAATTGCGATATCCTGTTGTCGTTCCAGTGACTGTTTCTCTGTTGACAATATCCTTCGCGTAGTGCCATTCACTGGTGAACATCTCATCACGAAAGTCATTCTGGGCTTTAACCTGAGGATGCAACAAGTCAGGAATGTTTTGGGATATTTCATAATCATAATTCATACTGTTTGAAACAAATAAATAAATACCGTATTTTTCACCGTATCAGTGGCACCTTTTTGCATAAATTTGCAAGTTATGCGACTTATACACAAAAAACTAACATATATATGTATATGTATGTAT